CGATCGGGTTCAGTTAACAGCCATTGATCGATCGCTCGGGTTCAGTAACGCGTAGCCTGCGCTCGGGTTCAGTTAGAGCCCAACGCCTCGCTCGGTTTCAGTTAGAGTCAATGCCTCGCACACACGCGCGTACGTGTACAAGAGAAACGCGCATCGCTCGGCCCCCGACCTCTCACCGTAACCGGGAACTCCCCGAAATTTTCCTCCCCCTCGCTTCTACCACGATTTTTTTCCGTCATGGACGGCCCAAAGAATGTCATGCAGCTGCGTCTCCGGCCCGTCCAGGACGAAAAGCCCATTTTTTATCATATTTTTTTGTCATAGAAGTAGGAGCCCACCACATCTATGATGATACCGGGTTTTGTCACAATTATCGTCGTAGAAGTGTCATATGTATGACAGAAAAAAAATTCGTTCGGCCCAAAATGTCACGGATGTGTCTTTTTTGTAGTGAGAGCACCTTTATAATCACTCAGTTACGTTGTGACGTTTGGTAGCACACAAAGTGTTCCTCCGATATTCGGGAGTTGCATAATCTCATAGTCATAGGAACGTGTATAAGTCATGAAGAAAACAATAGCAATATACTAAACAATCAAATGCTAAGCTAACGGAATGGGTCGAGTCAATCACATCATTCTCTAATGATGTGATCCCGTTAATCAAATGACAGCTCATGTCTATGGCTAGGAAACTTAACCATCTTTGATTCAACGAGCTAGTCAAGTAGAGGCATATTAGTGACACTCTGTTTGTCTATGTATTCACACACGTACTAAGTTTCCGGTTAATACAATTCTAGCATGAACAATAAACATTTATCATGATATAAGGAAATAAATAATAAATTTATTATTGCCTCTAGGGCATATATCCATCAGCTCCATCGTGGCGGATCCAGCCTCCGCGCCCAGCGCCACCACCAATGCCACCAACCGGCCTGACTCCAGCGCGGGTAGGCACGGCCACTCCTCCGCAGAGACCGTCAGACCGCCCGAGGCGATGAGCGTAGCCGCCACTTGCGCCCTAATCACCACCGCTGCCCCGCCAGGTGTCGTCGAGCCCCTGCCTGGAGACGACGAGGGCTACCATGTGCGGGCAGCGACGGCACGCGGCCCCCGGCCACCCGGAGCAAAACGGCGACGCGCCCCAGCGGCTCCGCTCCCCTCGGCCTGCGCGAAGGTGATGAAATCGCCAAGCGAAGGCCCCGCGGGCGCCGGGCGCCGCACACCTCGCAGGTGTTGTGCCGTCGCTACTATTCTGCCCATTTGTCTCCTTGTTGTCCTGAAGCTCAAGGTATCCCCATCACTTTCTTGTGTTCTCGCTCAATGTTCCGCGATTTAGGCAGCTAACTCCATCCGGTGCTTACGCCTCTTCTGTTGTACATCCATTTTGGTTTCCTCTTTGGCTCTTTGAAAAATATAGATTATCGATCTACATTGAGATGACCAAATATGAATCCCTTAAGTCTCTGCCTTTAGAACATCTTCAATAGATGATGTGGATACAAAAATGACTAATTTTTGCATCACCGAGACCCTAAATCCATCTCCAACAGATGATGTAGATGCAAAAATAATTACATCTCCAACTAGAAAAGATGTAAAATACAACACTTGAAGATACAAATTTGCATCTTTTTCAAAACTATCATGTTTTTTGTAGCAATTTCGGAAACTATAGGACGTAGTGCAAAAAAACCAAAACTAGTAGCCCGTCGGCCATTCTTTGGCCGAAGTAGTACTTTTCGGCCACAGCTAGGCCGAAATAGTACTTTTCGGCCACAGCTAGGCCGAAGCAGTACTTTTCGGCCAGAGCTAGGCCGAAGTAGTACTTTTTGGCCAGAGCTAGGCCAAAGTAGTACTTTTCGGCCACACTTAGACCGAAATAGACTTTTTGGTCAAGTCTAGGCCGAAAAGTCACTTTTTGGTCATCCCTAGGCCGAAGTTGCATGGCTCATGCTGAATTGTATTTTGTTGCCACCCGTTTCCCGCCCACCCCTTCCTGCCTTATTTTCCCGCCAATCCGTTCCCGCCTTATTTTCCCGCCAATCCCTTCCCACCTTATTTGCCCGCCAATCCCTTCCCGCCAACCCTTTCCCGCCATACCGCAGTTATTCTTTCCCGCCATTTTCTCCTCTGTATCTATAAAAACCCCTTCAGGCGGAGGTGGATAAGCATTCCAGTGTAGTGTAGTCGAGATGTCCCATTATCCATTCGATTGTACTTTTCACCCTGAGATGAGCAGCACTCTGCTGAGTCTAGCTACCGATTTCAGGATGGACAATAGGATAGTTCCATGGGACGAACTCACCGGTAGTGACACCATAATGAATGAGTTGGCTCACCAACTACGTAGGTCTGGGTGGCCTGAAAGGACCTATGAGGAGTCTGGGTGGACATAATGAATGAGTTAGTTTCAGACTCCTCATAGGTCCTTTCAGGCCACCCAGACCTACGTAGTTGATGAGCCAACTCATTCATTATGGTGTCACTACCGGTGAGTTCGTCCCATGGAACTATCCTATTGTCCATCCTGAAATCGGTAGCTAGACTCAGCAGAGTGCTGCTCATCTCAGGGTGAAAAGTACGATTGAATGGATAATGGGACATCTCGACTACACTACACTGGAATGCTTATCCACCTCCGCCGGAAGGGGGTTTTATAGATACAGAGGAGAAAATGGCGGGAAAGAATAACTGCGGTATGGCGGGAAAGGGTTGGCGGGAAGGGATTGGCGGGCAAATAAGGCGGGAAGGGATTGGCGGGAAAATAAGGCGGGAACGGATTGGCGGGAAAATAAGGCGGGAAGGGGTTGGCGGGAAACGGGTGGCGGGAAGGGGTGGGCGGGAAACGGGTGGCAACAAAATACAATTCAGCATGAGCCATGCAACTTCGGCCTAGGGATAACCAAAAAGTGACTTTTCGGCCTAGACTTGACCAAAAAGTCTATTTCGGTCTAAGTGTGGCCGAAAAGTACTACTTCGGCCTAGCTCTGGCCGAAAAGTACTGCTTCGGCCTAGCTGTGGCCGAAAAGTACTATTTCGGCCTAGCTGTGGCCGAAAAGTACTACTTCGGCCAAAGAATGGCCGACGGGCTACTAGTTTTGGTTTTTTTGCATTACGTCCTATAGTTTCCGAAATTGCTACAAAAAACATGATAGTTTTGAAAAAAAATCCCAGCCGCGCGCCAACCGCTCAACTACCTTCACTTTGCTTCTGCCCGCCCGACCCCCACCCGCCGCATAGCCGCCGCCCCATTCGCCCTCAGAACTCCTCCGCCGCCCGCCCACCCGCCACCGCTGCCCCTCCTCCGTCCCTCTGCCGCTCCTCCTCCTCTATCTGTCTCGAATCGCCGCTCCTCCGCCGATGCACC